AGCAACTTAACTAAGATCCCATCTGCATTGCACAATTAAAGCGGTACAGTATCATGCCACTTTTAAGAGCTTACCCCCATAGAATCCTGGGAACTGTAGTTTGTTAAGGATGCTGAGAGTTGCTAGTAGTCCCCTATTCCTCTCACAGAGCTACAATTTCCTGGGAAGAGGGATCGGTTGTTAAAGCACTTTGAAAAATCGCCTTGTTCTTTCCTCTGAGATTGTATCTCAAGTATTTGGTTCATTCACCAATACAATGGTTTGCCTTAAAGAGGAGACAAGCTCCTTTCAGCAATCTTCCTTCACATCCCCGCTGAACACACCTTCGTATGAAATCTGATGGGGGTTTTTTTGGCAAAACCATCTAATGCTATTGAAAGGGCAATAAAATTTAAAGGTAAAGGGACCCCTGACCATTAGGTCCAGTCGTGGCCGACTCTGGGGTTGTGGCGCTCATCTCACTTTATTGGCCGAGGGAGCCGGCATACAGCTTCCGGGTCATGTGGCCAGCATGACTAAGCCGCTTCTGGAAAACCAGAGCAGCGCACAGAAACACCGTTTACCTTCCCGCCAGAGTGGTACCTATTTATCTACTTGCACTTTGACGTGCTTTCGAACTGCTAGGTTGGCAGGAGCAGGGACAGCGCAACGGGAGCTCTCCCCATCACGGCGATTCGAACTGCCAACCTTCTGATCGGCAAGTCCTGGGCTCTGTGGTATAACCCACAGTGCCACCTGCGTCCAATAAAATTTACTGAATCCCTAATTCAGTCATGAAATCTACAACCATTCGATAATTCAAGCGGGAACACACGTTTACTAGAAGCAGGCCCCACTGATTGCTGTGGGACTGATCTCTGAATAAACAGGCAAAGGACAGTGCTGAAATTCATTTAAAACATTTATATCATCATCATCATTTTATTGGTATGCCTTCTTTCCATAACTATGTTCAAAGCGGCTTACAACATAAAAAGATTTACACAATTACAAAAATAACAAAAGTAGTCCTAAATAATAAATAAAACACATCAAAAAGTTCACAACCAAAGATACACAAAATAATATCGACAGCAGCAACAAAATTCTCTAAGCAATACCCCAACCCAAGAGTCTGGAAGTTCGAGAGGACTGACAGAAAAATAAACATGAACACAATTGTTGCTGTCGTTTAGTTGTGTCCGACTCTTCATGACCCCATGGACCAGAGCACGCCAGGCACTCCTGTCTTCCACTGCCTCCCGCAGTTTGGTCAAACTCATGCTGGTAGCTTCAAGAACACTATCCAACCATCTCGTCCTCTGTCGTCCCCTTCTCCTTGTGCCCTCCATCTTCCCCAGCATCAGGGTCTTTTCCAGGGAGTCTTCTCTTCTCATGAGGTGGCCAAAGTATTGGAGCCTCAGCTTCACGATCTGTCCTTCCAGTGAGTTATTCAAGCCCCTTCGCCACGGCAAGGCAGTGATCCATGAGGGGGAGGAACACAATTAGAAATATTTTAAATGTGAAATTCAATAGAAACAGTAAAACCAACATTAGTTAAGATGAAACAAAGCAGCATGAGTAAAACCAATCAAAGACAACAGAAAAATGAAGGCCTTCCTAAAAAAAATAGTATGATCTTTACACTGCAGCAGAAGACAATCAAGGATGGGGTGAGGTAGACCCAGTTGGGCAAGGAATTGTCGAAGATCTTAGCACTAGGGCAAGTTCATATGGGAGCAGATGGACCATCACATATCCTGGTTCCAAACTGTACAGGGCTTTAAATTTCATAACCACCACCATGAATTGGGCCCAGAAAGAAAACAGAGAGCCAGTGCTGTCTGGCAGTAGCAAAACATGCCCCCAACATCTAGGATGACTTAAGATGACATCCAACAGCATTTGGAGGGCACCTAATTGGAGAAGGCTGTATCATGTGGATCAGGTGGCGATCTTAAGAGTATCGCCGCATAGTGTCATGACCTAGGAGCTCCTCTATCTCTACCGCCTAAATTGTCCTCATTGTGTTAACCGAGTACACTTGTGCCAGCCTGGTGAGCGGAAGAGGCCCGAGCTTCAAAAGTGTGGTCCAAAGTCAGTGAATCACAGGAACATCAGAGCAAAGCATGAGCGAAGCACCATGTGAATAAACATAAGAAACATGGGGCTCTCCTATCAACCTGTGCATGTGTACCTCATAACCACTTAGTACGGGAGGCCCTTCTCCAGAAACCTGCTTCTGAGTGCAGAATGGAGGTGGCAGTGGACTGGATTCTGGCAAGACAGAGGTGCCTGGATCAGTAGAACAGCCAATCTGGGAACTGAGATTCAAGTTGTTCTGGATGGAGTAGTATATTCCTCTGGAAATCACAAACATGTATTTTGGGAGTGCTTCTGAACCTGGACTTGACCATTCCGTTTCTAAGGAGCCCTCCCCAAACCATAGTTTTGGTTGCAGCACAGAGAGCAAGCCAAGTCTCTGCGTCTTCACAGCTCCATATGAGACTAGCCCAGATTCCCCGTGATCTATTCTCCCACACCTAGCATGAGCCAGGTGAGTGGGGGAAGGCCTAACTCCTCCACTAGCTAGTTGTTTCTATTGCAACACATCTCTATTTGATCAACTCTTTAGACAAGTAAAAAAGATCCTGAATAAGGCTCGGCCAGAACAAAGAGACTGTTTAGACCTTTACAATAGGTTCTCATCTTGCAAATACAAAACCACAGGTTTGGAGGTTATGTAAATATATCATCCAAACTGACACACCCCCTCAACAAAAATCCTATAACAATATATTCATGGCACTGATTTCAGCCTAGTTCCAACTTTAGTCGTTCCACAAAATCTGAATCCAGCATTGTGTATTATTCTTTATCCATCACTTATTCACATATGCAGCTCGGAAGGGGCCAAAGCGGACCAGAGCTATCATCAAAGGCTGGTGTTTTTCTGCAGCTGTTATGATGGGAGAAATTTGGGAGCAAACGGGTCCCAAAACTTTGACTTGTTTTTGTTTCATGACCTTGGAGAAGCCACAATAACAATCCGCTTGCCAGGCTACGGGTCTCTAAAATACAGATCAGGCTTGTCTTCCTTGCTGTGGGTTGGAGAGGCTTATTTCATTAGCGATAATAAAGCGCTTTGGGGCTTATGGGTGGAAAAAAGAAAACTCCAGCAAAGGGCAACTTCTTAACTTTTGCATGGAAATAGCAGCAAGGTCAGCGAAATGTTGTTTTGCTCCATTTAGAAGAAGCGGGTCAGTCATTTCAACTCTGGAAGTTAGGATACAGGACTGGCAATTATTTCACTACCTAACCCCAACCCCTAACATTACCAACTCCTTAAACTGGCAAAAACAACAACAACAACAACAACAACAACAACAACAACAACAACAACAACAACAACAACAACAACAACTTTGCAGTGCTTCTTTAATTCAGGACAGGGTGATTCAAACCGTTTAAACAGCCCTTAGCAGAGAAATGGGATTCTTAGCCTGCTTGGGTCTGTCTGTCCTAATGGAAGCCACAGCAAGATAGTTTGTTTGGTTCTGGCTGAAATTTTTCTGGAGAGTTGAGAAAGGAATTGACCTCTTGTGCTCAGAAGCTTGGAGCTGGTTGGACGCTGCACTGATTCTGTCTTAAAGCCGAATACTTGCCTCTGCCTGATACTGAAGCCTTTATTGGTCTACCTTAATTTGGAATTTCAAACGGGCATCTACAATAGTTTTTGCCACTTACTGCTCCCTTATTATATTAACAACAGCGTGGGGAATTTTCACCAATATAAATTATTTCCGTCGTCATTATACTGCTTAATGCCAAAGCAAGCTTCTGAGCTGTCTACAAAATATTTTTAAAAACCATTCGCACAACAGTAATATAATTATACAATAATTAAAAATACACTCTAATTAACACACAATAAAACAATCCCTTGGAGGTTTTTAAGTCGAGGCTGGATAACCATCTGTCATGTATGTATACATAATTTAGCTGAGATTCCTGAATGACAGGGGGTTGGATAAGATGACCCTCAGGTTTCCTTCCAACTCTACAATTCTATGATCCTATTAAAAATGGGATTTTGCCAATGCAGTGTAGCAGTTACAGCGACTAGGGAGATCACAGAACTCAACTGCTCACTCAGCTTTACCTGTACAAACAATGGATCGGCCTAACTGTTCCTGGCTTGTACCATCCTGGCCTGTACCATCCAGACTACAGAGGGAGAGTCACACATTTCAGAGATGGGGAACTAGCAGCCCTCCTGTTTGTGTTGGACTGCCAACTTCCATCATCAGTCTACTGTCCCAGAGGCGCTAAGTATTGACAGGCATCTTCATGGTTTTTTGCTATCTCTTTTGTGGAGTTCACTTTTCGTCCCAGACTTGGACCAAGCAGATTCTTCAAAACAGAAGATTCTCCTCTTGAGAACATCCCAACAAAGGGATGTTCTAAGCATCTTGGCACAGCCAAGACGACGCGTGGAGAGTTTCAGTGGGGTTGTCCATAATTTCTCCCTATTTTTTTCTGCTTCCCAGATTCATAGCTTCTTAGTCCCTTGTCTAAGTCACCCAACTTTTGCAACAAACAAAGTGAAGGGCATGTGGTGGCTGGTTGAATAAGCTGCTTAACTAATTGATTAAGGTTCTTTCCGAATCTTCACTGCCATGACTTCATGTAGGGAGCAAGCAATATCTATGGCATAAGCAGACACACCAAACATAGTGGTCAATCCTACAATCTGTTGATGGGCACAGTTTTTAAAGTTTTAAATAGATACCACAGGGGGAGGGAAACTGAGCTGGGGCCACTGTGCAGGCAGGGGAGTTTAGCTCTCCCTGCTGCTAAGGACCCAGCGAAAATCACCTCTCCCCCCCCCCCGCCACAAGTGGTCAATTGCCCCAGAATGGAGCTTTCGCTGTTGTCACTACCTGAAAATGAGTGCTTATTTGTCTCTGCCAGAGGGGCTGTGTGAGATTGGCTAATGTGGATTTGTCTTTGGATTTCAGGGCAAGATGGCCCAGGATATGACTGAGAAAGAGCTCCTAAAGATGGAAATAGACCAGCTGAAAAAGGAAGTGAAGCTTGAAAGACAAATGGTAATGATTCCCAAATGCTCCGAGACAAAATATTTATGCTGGCTGGCCAATTGGTGCCAGGCTGCACAGACAACGTGCATTTAAATACAAAGAATTATGGGAAATGCAGTTTAAAGGGGCTGGGAGTTGTAGCTCCTTGGGAGGGGGGCTGAACTACCATTCCCAGGGTTCTTTGGAGGATGTCGTGTGTTTTAAAGGTATGGTGTATATACAGCCCTAACATGCGCACGTTCTTTTAAGTTACACAGGACAAATTGTCAGGTGGAAAGAGGAGGTTGTTCAGTTCTGGCTATGATCAAATGAAGCAAGCATAAGCCACTGAGAAGTTCTCCTGCACAAGGCCCACTGAAATAAATGGGAGCTATGCAAGGGTGGCACTGTGGGTTAAACCACAGAGCCTGGGACTTGCTGATCAGAAGGTCGGCGGTTCGAATCCCCACGACGGGGTGAGCTCCCGTTGCTCAGTCCCTGCTCCTGCCCACCTAGCAGTTCGAAAGCACGTCAAAGTGCAAGTAGATAAATAGGTACCGCTCTGGCGGGAAGGTAAACGGCGTTTCCGTGCGCTGCTCTGATTCACCAGAAGCGGCTTAGTCATGCTGGCCACATGACCTGGAAGCTGTACGCCGGCTCCCTCGGCCAATAAAGCGAGATGAGCGCCGCAACCCCAGAGTCGGCCACGACTGGACCTAATGGTCAGGTGTCCCTTTACCTTTACTTTTTGCGTGGATACAACAGTATTGCACAGCTCCCAAACATTTAATGTGTCTTGTGCAGCAGATGTTCCTGTTGAACGGAGCCCTGTATTATGTAATAGTGCAAAGACTATAGGTTGTTTCAATAACACAGCTACTTGAGTATTTCAAACATTCAAGTAGCAAGACACATGGGGTGGTATTCAATTAATTAACTCTTACTCAGACTAGGCCTATTGAAACTAACAAACCTAAGTTGGTTGTGTCCAACTTGAATGGGTCTCCTCTGAGTAGGCCTTGCATTGAACGCCACCCATGAAGACAACATCAGTGAGTATTTTGCTTCCAGCCAGGGGGATTTGCTGAATATTTGTACACACACACACACACACACACACCAGAGTTTAGTACTTGGCTATACAAAAATCCCTGAAAGAGTTTGAAATTGAGATTTCCGACTTTCTCCAGTGGGATGAGTCTGTTAGTTATTACTTTATTGTGTTGGCCCCGGACATTTCGCTGCCAAAATTAGGAGGAGCAGAAAGAGGCTTCACCCCCTTCCTAAAGTCAAGGTACAGAGCACCAAACCATAGTCACATTATTTTTGGTATCCCGGGCAGAAAATCCCACAAGTGCCCCTCTTTCCTCTCCAACAGTTAAAAAAAGCAAAGTGGTAAAGTAAATAACTAACCATTCACCACCTCACTCTGTCCAATGGTAGAGCCGGCCCCCACCAATTTGCATGCTTTCACATGACAGCTTTATTCAGAAATTGGTCCCATTGAGGGGTGGTAGTCAACAAAGTAGATCCACTGGTGCAAAGACTTTTGGCTGCACAGTAGCACTTGCCCTCCTTCTCCCCCCCCCATGTCCCCCTAAATCTGTTATGGGTAGGGATACATTTGTCCAGGTTTTCCCACACATGTCTAGGAATCGCTCCAGGAGAGATCAGGTACCAAGAAGTTTTGGGCTGGTCCACAGAACCACAGGGATGCGGGTGGCGCTGTGGGTTAAACCACAGAGCCTAGGACTTGCCGATCAGAAGGTCGGCGGTTCGAATCCCCGCGACGGGGTGAGCTCCTGTTGCTCTGTCCCTGCTCCTGCCAACCTAGCAGTTCAAAAACACGTCAAAGTGCTAGTATATAAATAGGTACCACTCCGGCAGGAAGGTAAACGGCATTTCTGTGCGCTGCTCTGGTTCACCAGAACCAACTTAGTCATGCTGGCCACATGACCTGGAAGCTGTACGCTGGCTCCCTCGGCCAATAAAGCGAGATGAGCGCTGCAACCCCAGAGTCGGTCTCGACTGGACCTAATGGTCAGGGGTCCCTTTACCTTTACCTTACAGAACCACAGTGATGATGCTAATTTTCCCCCTCCTCACACAGGTCTCGAAGACAGCAAAAGAACTCAAGGATTATATAGAATCCATGGCTGGAGAAGACCCTCTCTTAAAAGGTGTTCCAGAAGACAAAAACCCATTCAAGGAGAAGGGAGGCTGTATAATAAGCTGACCCCGGCCCCGCCAAAAGAAGATCATTGTTGTGTCCTTGTACGAGAAATACCAGGACTGTAAGAATCTGTTTAGCGTAACTGAGTGTAAATGATCTTCTGTCGGGGGGCGGGGGGGTAGGACTCCTTTACTGGAGTTTCACATAGAACAAAAGAATTGGAAAGTGGTCTCCTCCAAAAGAAAAAAGGAAGGCGACAATCTCTCTTTTAGGACCTCGCGTTCAATTCCTTGGGTTGCTTCGAGAGGAAGGATGGGATATAAATTGAATAAATAAAATAAATTCCCATTTTGTAAATACATCACCAGTTTCCCAAAGAAGCCTGGTTTTAATTGCTGGTTTAGTTTTTTTGAGTTCCATTGGGATATTATTTTGTATGTGTTTGGTTGTTGTTTTTTACTAGCTTCCCAAGAGAAAAATGGCAGGCAAAGGAAAGTATTCTTTGTGTAGGATGCTTCTTCTTAAGAAGCGAGGGTCTTTTACAGCTGGGGTGGGGGATCTGAAGCCCTTGGCCTAACTTCATGTAACTTGCAGAGATGGGATAGCAGAGAGCGACAGAGAGAGCAATGAATTCCTGTAGTGCTTCAAACTCCGCCCACTTCTGGCCATGACTCCACCCACTGTTGGCTGCACCCTCCCACTGACTTTTTTCCATAAGTCAATTGCCCTTTCTGGGGGGGGGGAGGGAAGGGTTCTCCACACATTTACAGATTTTATAACCCACATCTGTGACGTAAGGTGCTCTGTGCACACCGTACGTTTAAAGCACTTTCAAAACCCAAAGTTTCAGCAGTCTTCCCCCTCCGAACACTTTTCTGTGTCAAGTCATACACACACCTCCTTTTTTCTCTTCATGAGTTTCTTGAGTTTCACTGTCTTTATGACATCTGCACAGTACGAGCTCAAACCAGCTTCAGGAGGGGGCAATTTGGAAAAGAAAAAAGCTCCAAGGTGTGTTTGCCTAATCCTTTCCCCTCCGGCCATTTCTTTCTTCCAAACCACCCCACAGAAGCTTTTCCCGTTCTTGAGTTTTCAGAGCCTCCTGGCTATAGAGCTTTTATAACAGCTGTAGGAGTCTAACGCTGAACAGTTGGCCAACTTTTATTCTTACCCTTGCTTCAGGTGGGATGTCATATATGGAGTGAGACAAATGAATATTAACACGGAGCACATTAACCAAGAGATGAAACAACACAGCCCCCGCCTACTGTCCATAATTATCGTCAAAGATTAATAATTGCCATCACTTTTTCTAAAAGTAATGAGGCTTATTCTTTACACAGCATCACCACATATAATTGTCTTGTAAAATAACGATAGCGTTACAAGTCAGATTTTGAATTGTCAGTTGTATTGTGGAGTGCAAAATACAATAACCTAATTGTTTGTAATTAAAAACGCAGATCTTTGTGTGCAGCATTGGGTGTGGCCTGCTTTGAATTTCTTGATTCGTTTATTTATTTTGAAGCTCAAATCAAGCATTTATTGGAGAAGCATATCTAAGGCAGGAAAAGTGGAGGGCGGTGAGGAGAAATTCCAAGGAGAGAAATGTGGGTTCCGTGGGGGGAAATTGTCACTGTCAAATACACTTATTTCACCTCAGAAATGTGCATACACATTGTACATTTAAAGCATATTTCCCCCTCAAAGAAACTTGGGAACTGTTAAGGGTGCTGGGAATTATGTGTGTTAAGGGTACACACAATTATGTAAGGGGCAAACTACAATTCCCAGAATTCTTTGCAGGAGGAATGTGGCTTAAATGTTCTTTTAAATGTATGGAGGGGGTGTAAGAAAAAGGCTCTCACCATTTAATCATCTACGCCCTGATCCACTGAATGTAACTTAGGCCTGTTCCCATTACTGCTGGTGCCCCAACATGAATACCTCAAGAGTACCTCAGGCAATGCTTCCAAGTTGTTCTATTTTTGGGTGGCACATCTCAACAAATTCAGGTTGTGTTGGTTCAAGGAAAAAACAATACAGAAAGGAAGAATTCCTGGATCCCATGTTTGGGGCAAGTACTATTTGGTGAGAGAACCCCCACAGAGATTTAAAGTCACAAAATATGCAGCATGGTAAAGCAAAGAATGGAAATATAGGCTGTTATACCTTTAAAATATGCCCTTCGAAGTTCCTCCCAAAGTTCTCCTCTTCTCCTAGCACAGAAAATGACTGCATTACATATTTGGCAAGTTAAACATGGTTTACTTACAAATCCTCCAAAGGTTCATGTGCTTTTCCATACAGCATTCAGAAAAAGTTACACAGGATGTAAAACTTGGCTTGCTTACAAAAGTGAAAATTCCTAGTTTATTGGTACAGGAACGCAATAAAGGCTTGTTAAAGCCATGCGGTCTAAACTTAGAGCAACAAGCTCAGACCTGTTTACACATTGAGCTTCTCTGGTAGGCTGGGAGATAATAGGCCTGATTACCCAGTTCAGGCTTCCTCAACCTTGGCCCTCCAGATGTTTTGAGACTACAATTCCCATCATCCCTGACCACTGGTCCTGCTAGCTAGGGATCATGGGAGTTGTAGGCCAAAAAACATCTGGAAGGCAAAGTTTGAGGAAGCTTGACCTCGTTCCTCCCATGATAAGCCTGGCAGGACAGCTTACTCTATGACAGGCTTCCTCAACCTCGGCCCTCCAGATGTTTTTGGCCTACAACTCCCATGATCCCTAGCTAGCAAGACCAGTGGTCAGGGATGATGGGAATCGTAGTTTCAAAACATCTGGAGGGCCAAAGTTGAGGAAGCCTGCTCTATGATTTTAACCCCTTCGTGCATTAAGAAAGACTTACACATGTTAGCTATGAGGCTGGTTATCCCAAAGGTTGCACAATTACAATTGATTGGGAGGTGTTGTACAACCAACCCGCTTCTCCCAAAGATCAGACTTCTTCTGATAAGGAAAGTGACAGGGAAATGAAGCAGAAAGTGCAGGGCAACCCTTGTTTTTGACTTAATGGTCATCTAACCTCCTCAAGGGACGCGGGTGGCGCTGTGGGTAAAAGCCTCAGCGCCTAGGGCTTGCCGATCGAAAGGTCGGCGGTTCAAATCCCAGCGGCGGGGTGCGCTCCCGTTGCTCGGTCCCAGCGCCTGCCAACCTAGCAGTTCGAAAGCACGTCAAAGTGCAAGAAGATAAATAGGGACCGCTTACTGGCAGGAAGGTAAACGGCGTTTCCGTGTGCTGCGCTGGCTCGCCAGATGCAGCTTTGTCACACTGGCCACGTGACCCGGAAGTGTCTCCATCTTGAGTGAGATAGGCGCACAACCCCAGAGTCTGTCAAGACTGGCCCATATGGGCAGGGGTAACTTTACCTTTACCTTTTAACCTCCTCACAAACAAATCAGTATAAATGCCCATTAAATAGCCAACACTGTCTAATCTCCCTGAAAACTAAATCAGGATGACCGCTCAATAAACAGGCCACCTGGAAGCACCCTCTGTCTCCACAGGCAGCGCAATTTGTCGGCAATCTGTTTTGCCTGAGTCTCTAGAGCAGTGATATGGTTTCCCATAAAATCTGAGTGTGTCCATCCATTGAGGAACGTTAATAAAAAATATATTTGAAGGGTCAGATACACTTTGTGAGGTCGAGGGCTCTTCTCCTTCTGTAAAACAGGTGACCTACTTAAACCAAGCTATGTACTTTGTAGCCTATTTCAGAATGACATAATCTCTTTTAAAGGGATTTGGGCTTCTAGCCCTTTCCTGTTTGCCTTTGGATTCTTCCCCGAAGATTTCCTGTAATGCAGGAAGCACCGAGGTCACAGTCAGAAGTCTGGGGCCTTCACAATTTGATTCCTTCTCCAGAACTTTGCAGGGGCTCCCAGCTGTCCTGGTGCGACCAAACTAGCAGGGAGGCCAACAGACACCCCTTTCTTTGGCTGCCTAACCACAGACCTTCAGGTCAACCCAAGGGTCAAAAGAATCCATGATGCAGCGAGAACTAATTTGCTCTCAAAAATGCTCTCTTGCAAATGTTGATGTCCCACGTTTTTGAGATAATTTCCTGAATCCTCAAATATTTTTGCTGAATTGCCTTGTTGTTGTTTAGTCGTTTAGTCATGTCCAACTCTTCATGACCCCATGGACTGCCATGCCAGGCACTCCTGTCTTCCACTGCCTCCCGCAGTTTAGTCAAACTCATGCTGGTAGCTTCGAGAACACTGTCCAACCATCTCGTCCTCTGTCGTCCCCTTCTCCTTGTGCCCTCCATCTTTCCCAGCATCAGGGTCTTTTCAGGGAGTCTTCTCTTCTCATGAGGTGGCCAAAGTACTGGAGCCTCAACTTCACGATCTGTCCTTCCAGTGAGCACTCGGGGCTGATTTCCTTCAGAATGGAGAGGTTTGGTCTTCTTGCAGTCCATGGGACTCTCAAGCGTCTCCTCCAGCACCATAGTTCAAAAGCCTTCTTTATGGTCCAGCTCTCACTTCCATACATCACTACTGGGAAAACCATAGCTTTAACAATACAGACCTTTGTCAGCAAAGGTGATGTCTCTACTTTTTCAGATGCTGTCTAGGTTAGTCATTGCTTTTCTCCCAAGAAGCAGGCGTCTTTTAATTTCGTGGCTGCTGTCACCATCTGCAGTGATCATGGAGCCCAAGAAAGTAAAATCTCTCACTGCCTCCATTTCTTCCCCTTCTATTTGCCAGGAGGTGATGGGACATCTAATACCCGATACTGTTATGAGTTTGGGGGAGGATGGAGGACTGGCCAGGCAGGTTTCTTTTAGGACAAAGGCCAGCTGGCTCCTTCGAGTGCCCTGAGGAGCATTTCCAAGGAGTGAGATGGGTTGTAACAACTGCATCTATGTGAGAAACAACAAAAACAGCCAGCTGAGCTGGAGATTTGCTGTGTGAGTGAGCTGGAAACTGGAAAGAAGGTCCTGCAAAAAAAGGAGTGCCAACTTTGCCCTGCAACCATGGGTGCCTGGGGCCGTGGGTGCCATGCAGCGTGTACAGCCTTGGCACTGAAATTTGTGGGTGCCTAGCCCCTTCATGGGGAATGTTGTGGGTGCTCGGGCACCCAGCGAGTTGGCATCTATGCTGCAAGGGCTAGGGGAGAGACAAACAAGATTTTTGGGGGGCTTAATATGTGAGCAAGGGACGTGGGTGGTGCTGTGGGTTAAACCACAGAGCCTAGGACTTGCCAATCAGAAGGTCGGCGGTTCGAATCCCCGCGACGGGGTGAGCTCCCATTGCTCGGTCCCAGCTCCTGCCAACCTAGCAGTTCAAAAGCATGTCAAAGTGTAAGTAGATAAATAGGTACCGCTCCGGCGGGAAGGTAAACGGCATTTCCGTGCACTGCTCTGGTTTGCCAGAAGCGGCTTAGTCATGCTGGCCACATGACCCGGAAGCTGTACGCTGGCTCCCTCGGCCAATAAAGTGAGATGAGCGCTGCAACCCGAGTCGGTCACGACTGGACCTAATGGTCAGGGGTCCCCTTTACCCTTTAATATGTGAGCACCTCCATCTTCTGCTCAGGCTTATTTTGTAGTAACTCTTTATCTAGTAATGAGATTTCCTTTGTAAAGCCTCTTTTCTTATCTGCCTTGAACACTTCATTTAGTTGGCAATACTGAATCCACCCTGTTAAAGTGATGCCTTATTTCCTTGTAGTCTTTTAATATCAGCTTACTGTAT